TGATACACTGTCTCCCTCTCTCCTTGCAGCTGCACCTTGCTTAGCTGCATGTACTAGAACAGGGGTTGGCAATATTTATTGGCAAAGTGCCAAAAACACCTACAACCTTGATGTGTAAGATGTTGGTGTGCCGGGGTGGATGATGGGGGAGCTGCGAGGGGCCTGATCCTTGTTGTGGCAGTGCAGACCTGGCCTCTTCTCTGCTGTCCAAGCAAAATGCCTTCACGTGCCACACAGGCACCTGTGCCAGGGGTTGCCTACTCCGGTGCTAGAATGCATTTTTTGCTTTCAGGAACTGGTCATTGCTCTGAACAAAATACTGGGCTTGGGCTCTTGGTTTGGGTCCTGGGGGGTAATTAGCTATCCTGCCTCAGGCCAAACTCGTGTTCTGAAGTAAGAATCTGGAGCCATGTTGTTTTAGTGATCTACAGGAACCCCTTTACATTGAAGATTTTGCTGCCTTCAGAGCTTCCAGATATGGCTGTGAGGGAAGGAACTGCTGTTTCCTTGCTCCTGCCCCATGTTCTACCCTAGAACATGGAGGTGGTTGGAGATCTCTGTACAGCTTGTTCCCTTGATCCACTATTCAATTCTTCTCTCTTCCTGTTCCCTTTGCTACTTCTGTCCCTTTATAACAGTGAGGTGAGCACTTAAGAAGGTGGCTGCTTGAGCAAGTCAGTGACTGTACCAGAGGGAGGCTGAGGAGGTGGACATAAAAGTGCTTGTGGTTCCTGCCACTTGTAGCACTCCTAAGCTGTATTTGCACAAGAGTCCTCGGAATCATTTTTTGGGTAAATATGAAGTTCTTAGGGGTATTGTGTCGAAATGTCATACCTATTGCTTGGGAAATGCAGGTGGGAGTGTGAAAGAGATGAAAAGGTCTTTTGTTTTGCCCTGGATGTTTCAGTGGGGTCTGAGGCTTCAGGTGAAGGTGAAGTGCCTAGGCAAACTCATTTAGAGAGGAGATTTCTGCCTTGCCTCAAGATGCGACACCAGTTCAGAGTAATGCAGTAGGAGACCTGTTCCCCTTGCCTCTATCTTGGAGCACAGTTCTTCAGGCTTTGTCATGCCTGCAGCCATTCTGGTTGCCTTGGGGTAACACTGCGGGGCTTCAAAACTGATGTTGTTCTGAAGAAATGTCATTCTTTTTCCTAAAATCTCAGTGTCTGTGATACCCCATTCAACACTTTTCAGTGCAGCACTTATCTTAAGAAAAGCCTCACAGGAAGCACAGAAGTTCACAACTATGCAAGGTACATAGTAACAGTAGTTTGTTTCCTGCTTGGCAATAAATGGGACAGTGTTGTTATCCACAGCTGCCCATGCTCTGTTGTTTTATGGGTTTAGGTGGTCCAGCTGATCACTATAACTGGCAGTAGGAGCCAGCTTTCTAGCATATATGCAAATAATTGATTTAGTACTGTATTGTCTCCGAACTTTATTTTGAGCAAAATGTCATCCTTGCTTTGGACCTTTGTACAGCTAGTTTGTTTTCATGTCTTTTTGGGGGATCGTTATAACACACACAAGTTCATTTTTTGCAAATACTCAGGATTACCTGGCATTGTATGAGCTTTAAACATAATTAAGGAACATCCTGATGAAGCTGCCTGAAATGCAGACAGTAGGTACAATCTTATACTTGTTTCCTTGCAGCGGCAATAAAGTTGACTGTTTCTGAATGATGGAAGAAAACATGAGATGTTTTTGTGTGAGAAATCTGAAGTTAAGAAGCGTTGTTGCTGTTGTGAGCTTGGTAATGCCAATACCTAATAAAGCCTGACCCCATTATAGAAGTAAGTTAAAAACAGACTGTACTCTGTTCAGCTTGACTTTGTCACAAACTGCATCACCTGAGAGCAAGATGGTTGCACCCAGCTTCTTATTCAGTAACTCTTGGACTGCTGAGCTGAATAGCATGCATTAGTCTTCCTATAGCTTATTTTCTTCCTCCCACTTTCTTTACCCCCTGACTGGTAGTGTATTGTAGCAGGGACAGTGAGATGGACAAATACTGCCTGCATTAGAGACCCTTTAGGATCAGGAAGCCTGGAAAGAAAATTGAAAATTTGGAACCTGAAGAGCTCCAGTCCTGTTCCTAGGGAATGTGCTTGATGATCAATGAGGCTAGGCCATTGTTTTGGTACCTTTGTTCTCCTACGGCCAAATTCAGTGGTGGTGAAAGCAATCCCAACTTTCTAGGACTTCTTTGAGAATTGGATTGGCTTCTGCCAGGGCTGGCTGTTTGCTTTGTTGGCTTCTACAGCTGCTTACCAAGAGGGTCAGGTCACTGTTCATCTCTTGGTTGGCAGCGATTTCCCCTCCCAACCCCCTAAGGAAATTGCCTAACACAGTGGTCATAGTAAGGGGGAAGATTGGGTTGAAGAGGGAAGGGGAGAGAATCTTTCAAGATGAGCTGAAGGAATAAGAAACAATCCAGTAGCTCTGCCTTCTTTCCCCACAGGCTTTACTTTGGGTCTCTGCATCTCTGTACTTGGCCTTTCTCTAATGGTTAAACAAAACTCCATTTAATGCAACACAAAGGTTGTGAAATCAAATGCTCAAAAGTCTTGACATTCCAGAAGTTAGATGCAAACTTGAAATCTAACCAGCTTCAAAATAGCAGGTGACAAGTATTCATGTGCTGCCTCATGCTAGTTTTTGTGGTTTTACAGTATTACATTCCTGTTGTTTAAAAACAAGCTTTCTTCCTTACCCTGTTGCTGTGAGATGCATGCAAACAGGAGAAGTAGAGAAAACGGCTAGATGGGAGTACCTAAATAAACAAACATTTTCTTTCATTTGCAGACTTGTAGGGCTTACTTGATATGGGGGGTGAAGCACTTGGACAGAAGTAAGTGTGCTTTCAAGTTGCTGTTGTCTTATTTAAGGCTTTTCTCACAATGGTGATTCATAGATTTCATAGATATTAGGGCTGGAAGGGACCTTGGAAAATCGAGTCCAGCCAGATAAATGTCCAAATGACTCTTAGAGGAATCCAGATTTAGTCTAAAATGCACAGTGTTTTGATCTTCTTAAGAAATGTAACCCTTCACCTGGCATCAACTGGATATTAACTTGTAGCAAAAGCATGTCCTGCACACCTAGGATTTATGGTAGTATTTTAAGTATGCACTTGCTGCTTTACAATGCCATGTAATGTCTTGATACTATGCAATGCCAGACTTAGAAAGGAAACCATTCTTTTAGTGTACCAGTCTTCTTACAGGTGCAATTTAGGTCACTTGGATGGTTTAGCACCTCCCAGCATTTGTCACGTGTTAATAGGTACTGAGATGTTAGGATCTGGATTTTAGGAGCATATTTGCAGGGTTGGACCAGCTGTTGCTGTGCATGGCTAAGACTGTTCCTGGCCTTTGGCCTTCTGAGCTTATTCTTTTTTTTTCCCCTTTCTTCTTATTTTTATTATTTCTATGCTGGGGGTGGGGGTAAGGATGCAGATGTCGTTCTAATTGGCTTCAAGAGGAGGAGAGGTAACTTAATGCTTCTGAAAACTGGTGTTTTGTAACTGTTGCCTTTTGTGTTAGTTCCAGAAATCCAGGTTTTTTTAGTTCGTTCTCCTAGCCCTCCCCATCCTACAATTACTGCCTTGTGATTTTTGCTACAAGGGAGATCCCGTTGAGGTGAGGCAGAAAAATCAGGCTTATCATAAGGAACACTTTGTCTACAGTGCACAGTAAAGTTCAATGCTGTTCCCTGCTATGAGTCGTTTAGAAGCTGTTTGTAAGTAGGAATTGAGAAGAAGAAAAATGTTTCTGATTATTTACCCTGTGCACATAACACTCTTTAATCTCACTGTTTCCCTTCCAGCTTTCTCTGGCTGTGTGAACAAGCCTCTAGAAACATTTAAGGTCAGGATCAGGGCCATATATTGATTCAGCTACAAACTCATGAAAGCAATGGTTAATTCTCTGCTATTCTCTCTATTATGAATGTGGTTCATTTGGTGACACAGCTCAGTGAAACTTTCTGCTGTGAACATGTTCTGCTTACTGCCTGTTGATGCCAGGCCCCTGTTGTTGTAATTGCATTGGCATAGGCAGGATCTCAGGTACCTTCATTTGGGCTCTTTGTGCAGCAACCAGATAAAAAATGTTGGCTGTTTTGAGCTTGTTCTGAGTGGGAGGGGGTAAGATGATGCAGAGGGGGAATTATAATAACTTCATAATAGTGGTGGAGGGCAAGTGTATACTTGTTCTCTTGTTACCTGAAGATGGTTAAAAGGAATCCTTACTCCACTTAGGTTTCAGTTTACCTTTAGGCAGTGCAGAAGCTGACTGCTGTGGAAAGCTGTACATGTGTGTGGAAACTGGAGATTAGAATGGAAACTGTTAGCTATTGTATAGCAGTCTGCCAGTAACAACTTGTATAACTTCTGTAGGTCTTCAAGCTTTCAAAGCACTGCTGGAATGCTGACTTGTAATGCATCAGGCTCTGCTCCTAACCTCTGTTTTTCCTTGCATCCCATCCAAACTTATTAACATTGTGGCTCAGCTGCCTCAGACATTACCTGGATGCAGGGAACAGCTTCCTGTCTCTGAGTCAGTTCTCCAAGCATCTTCTCTCTTCTCCTTCATGTCAGTGCTGGAAACAAATGCAGCCTATTTTGAAAGGTTTGGAGCAGTAGTTCTTAACCTTGTTGGGCTTAAGACACTGCTTGGAAAATGTCAGCTCTTAGTTTGCACTAGAGCAATTCTTCTGTTGCAAAGAACCCAGAAAGACCATAACAGGTCAAAATGTTTTTGATGCTATGGATTTGTATTTGAAATCTCTGCATTTATTTTGTGAATTGTGTGTAGGGGTTTGCACATCTCAGTGTGCTAATATTGTCTGGCACCCTTAAAAGGATCTTGTGACACCCTAGTTAAGAATCATTTCAAAATGCACATCTGTCCACCCCTCTAGCGCTGATAGCCTGGTCTCCTGATCTATATTACAGCTTTAGATTCACTGCTGTACTTCTGGATTTTTCTCTGCAGAGTCCTGGAAAGTAGCAACTCTCTCCTTCTGCTTGAAGAATGGTTGTGTTCAGGCAGTTTGGGCTCCTTCTCTGGAAGAACTACATTTTGCAGGTATGTTATATGCTGGGTTTTCTATCAGGAGGGCAGAATAAATGGTGATGCAGAAGAAGCTGCGCAGTGCTATTCAGATCAAGTTATTTCAAGACCCATGTGTCTTCAGGAAACTTCTTTCTACGGGATGATGGCCTGCCCCTTAGAAAATGCATCTAGATCCTAGAGGGGGTGGTGGTTTCTTTATTCTCCCCTCCCCACATCATCTTTATCAATCCCTGTCACTTTCAAGATGGAGCCCGTGGATTGCCCACTTCTTCTTTAGGGTGGGGAAACAATCTAGATGTGATCTGGCCATTGCAAGGGTAAGCAGAGGAGTCTGCTCTCATGCTGGCCCTTTTCATTTATCCCAGTGACGCTTTGGATTTTACACTTGTTTCCTGCCATGAAAGCACTGACCACTGGGCTGCTCTTTCCAATAGAAATAATCATTGGGGAGGGAAAAGCACTGGCATTCACTCTGCAGCTGCACCCTCTTGCCTGCCTCTGGTGCCTTCCTGAGACTGGGGTGATCCCAATTTAGGAAATCATGGGGAGAAGTGGTTGCTTTGGTTCTCCCATTCCCAGGAGGGACTGGAGCAGTAGGGCAAAATTCCTGCCTGCTCCTTGTACCAGGGACTCTAGTGTGAGGAGCGGGCAGGGGGCTTGCAGCACTGCTCCTTTTGCCCATGGCAAAGCCCCCTGCCTGCTTCTCACACTGGAATCTCATTGGTTTTGCAGTTAAAACCAACACTTCACAGATCAGCTCTAGGTTGCAAACGCACACTTATCCTGATTGCTGTCTGCCAGGCCCATCACAGTGTAGTGGGGCTGGTTCCAGCATCTCAAATAAGTGGGCTAAGTAAAAGCAAATTTAGAAATCTCTTGTGTTCCCTCATTGCTGGGGTAAAAGAACCAGTTCTAGGGGTAGAAAACAAGTCTGGGTGTGCACTCTTGTATAGCGAGACTCCTGTTGAAGGTGAGACACTGAGCTTATTTTTGGACAAAGTTCAAGAGGCAATAAGAGGGTTAATACAGTAGGCTGCCTTTTGGTGACCTCAGTATTATTACAGACCCTCCCCTTACCTCCAGCTTCCTTAGAGTGATGCATTTTGCAATGCTCCTCTCTCTCTGCCCTAGCCTCACAGAGCCAGTTCATCTTTGGTGTAAACCCATCCTGCTGTATGGAGTTACACCTGGGTTAAATTTGAGCCACAGTTTGTCAAATGATTATCGATTTCCAAAGCCCAGAAGGCCCTTTGCTGTGCAGGAAATGAGGCAAATAGCTGCATTTAACAGCTAAGTGAGCCAACCACCACTGATCAGTCCTGACCACATCCAGGAGGAAGGGCATCAGTCAAAAGTCAGACAGCCTTTATTTACCAAGGGGGACTCAGGAGCCAAAAGTTAACTCTATACATTACCATCTATGGGATGCCAAGGACAGCAGAAGATACTGTTTTGCAGAGAGCTTTTTTATCCTGAGTTTAGGTTGGAATGCTTAGTTCAGATTTTCTGTTCCGAACCAACTGTTGGGGGCATGCCCAAATCCAGCTCAGTTTTTCCCCTTTCTAATAATAATAAAGCTTTAGAAATAAGCAAGACCTTGTGTTCTGAGGCTCTGGACTAGGACTCAAGTACTGAGTTCACATCTGAGTCTGCCATAGACTTTTTATGTGGTCATAAGCAGGTCACTTAATCTGTTTGTCCATCTGAAAATTACCCGTGTCATGGGGAAGGGATGGAAGGGATGCATTGTGAAGAGAGCAGGAAGTAGCAGATCTACCCATAAGAGAGCCAGGCAATGCTGCCCTATTGAGTTTACTTGTTTGTTGAAAACTGAAGGTGTTGTAAGAAGAAAAAAACTGAAGCTGTTAAGAATTTCAGGCAGGGAAGTACAAGGCACACCCAGGGAGAGAGAGAGCATGAATCATGGTTCAATTCCTGAGCATTAATCCTTTTAAATGGACATTGTGAAATAGTTTAGTATGAACTTTACCACCACAGAGATGTCTGTCCTGCTGGATCAAGCTTGCAAACCCTCCTGACCAGGAATGGTCACTTTAGGAATACAGGAACTGCTTGCCAATGCCAGAGATAATTTAACAGCTTGGTGACTTAGGGGTGGCTTTGGGCCACCCAGATGTCTCACACCTTCCATCCTGCAGTCTCCAACCATTTTAAAAGCTATTTGGGCCCCATTTTGCCCCAGGGAGGAGGTAGAATGCCTAGCTCTTGTATCGCACTTTGCTGCTCTATATCTTGGAACACAGGGCAAAGGAGGTCAGTGTCGTTATCCTGTTTTAAAAACATCAGTCAGGGCACTAGGAGACTGTGGAACAGAAACCTGTTCTCAAGAGTTTGAGGTTGTTGCTTATTGCTGTTGGGGAATATTTTGTGTGCTGGAGGTGTGGAATGCACTGAAGCAGAGCCTTACTGGAAGGCATATAGCTGTGGAGTTGGCAGGGCTGAGAGTAGAACCTCTACAGTCCTAGATCTTGGGCCTGTTGTACCCACTGCCCATACCCAAGCCTTCGCTGGCAAGATGAAGTATCACTCTACTGTATCCTGTCTCACCCCTTTGGATACCTTACATGCTGCTGTTCTTGCTCCTTCAATGGCCTCCTCTTGTCCCATTCTGAAATGTCCTTACTGGCTCCTATTCTCCTTCAGGGTTGAGGCTTGTACAACAGTTGCTTGTTCATCCCCACTCCCTACTACACTGCACTTCTTAGTTTCTTTACTAAGTTTGCAACTTCCTCTGTCCTGCAGAACATGTTGCTTCTTGGATTTAGTTATGTCTTGGTTAGAGGCATCATCCACAGTCCACTGAAGTCAGCGGGAAGATTCTGCTCGCGTTGAGGGCTCAGCCAGTGCATGTTGATGGGAGGCAGAGGGAGGAGGTGCAGTTGAATGGACTGGATGTGGGAGTGGGGCCCAGCATAGTTCAAATCCAGTCCTGCTGCTGAGTTGCCCAATGAACTGGAAAGATGGAAGGCTCACAGTAAGAAAGCAGCCAGGCAGGATGTGGCTGTTTCAAATGGAAGATTTCACAGAATATATGGGAAAATGCCAGGAAAAACCAGATGCTTATTTCCAAGATTAACACCTTCATAGCCGCTAGAAACCCAAGCAGGACGTAGCAAGGGCAGAGTATTCAGGCATGGCAGTGGCATTTTCCCTGTTTATTCTGTGAAATCTTCCATTTGAAACAGCCACATCCTGCCTGGCTGCTTCCTTACAGTGAGCCTTCCACCTTTAAACTCTGGGGGTCTGACTTCATGTAATGTTCATAGGGTCTTCCTGCAGCCAGTCAGGGTGATACAGGCCAGTACTGTCTTGGTGTCTTCTGTTCCCCAGATGAACAGTACTATCTGCAGACCAGTAGTCAGCTCTCCAGTTTGGGACAAGTGTATAGCCCCTCAGTTGAATTTTAAGCTCTATTTTCAGGCATTATTTGTTGATATAAATCTAACAACAGCAGTTCTCTCAAAGCGCAGGACCCTCCACAAAACCTGCCTATTGCATCCTCTGTGCTCTGGCCTGGGAGACCTCCCTCCATGTCCTCCACCAAGTGTTGGCCATCTCCTTGCCTGAGCCACCAGACTTCTGGCAGCTCTCTTCCCCCTGCCCCTTACCTCCAGGCTTCAGCAAGAGGGGTCCCCACAGCCTTCTGCTTCTGAAACCCCTTAATCTGGTGCCATACTGAGCACTTCCTTCCAGCATAGCTCTTATTTTGGGGGTAAGCTGCTGCTGCTTCATTACCCAGGTCCTCCATTTTCACAGATCTGTTGATTAGCTCCCTGCAGAAACTTCCCATCCCTCATCAGCTTTCTATTTCTACCTCTCATCTGTGTCTGGGCCTTCATGCCATTTAGCTGACTTCTGCCTGGTCCCACCTGGAAGCACTTAGCTAGTCACAGGTGAACTGGGCCCATACCCTCTTAAAGGGGTCAGTCTACCCTGTGACATGGTGCTTGAGTTTTCAGTGTTGGCTAACGTGATGGAGTTGGTGCATGGAAAGTGCAGACCAGCACAAACCTCTATTCCAAGGAGTTGTCTTAACTGCAGACCCACTGACTTTTGTGCCTTGGAATGGGGAGTGTCCAGACTAGCATGTTCACTGTATTCACTAGCCTGAGGTGATTGTCATATCCATTCACTTAAGGGTGGACAAACCTCTGAAGCAGGCCCTCTTTTCTTGGGCAAATGTTACACTGCAATGCTAGACAACAGTGCTTCATGGAGATTTTAGGTATCTTGGGCTAAATGAATTAACCCAGCCCACATGTAGGGTGGGGAGTCCTGCTCTGAGCAATTCCCTGTATTGTTACTGCATAAAGGGAAACGAGATGGTAGGCAGATAGAGTGCTCTGTTGCTACGCTTTAGCCCTGCAGCCAGGCATGCGCAGTGGCAGCTGGGTTCTGGCTATTTTTGGTGTCTGGCTGTAATCTGCAGCACATCCCCCTGGCACTAGAGACCTGTCGGATCTCATCAGTTAATTGGGCTCAGTGCGCCTGACAAGTGGCCTCCAGGGAACTGCTGAGGTGCTGCCCAAAGTGGCTGTAGTGATTTTTAGTCAGAGGAGCTCCTCTTCCTTGAGTGGTTCCTCACCAAATCCCCTGGAATGCATTAGAAGTCTCTGTGCTTCTGGCTGTGTCATCTTTCAGATGGCTTAGCCTTGGGCAAATGCCAAAGATCCCGCATCACCTTCTCTGCTAAAGGAAAGAAATTAATTTGACTTGACTTTAACTTTATCTCCACCTCCTCTTGTTCCATTCTGCCTTTCTTCATTTAGTTGTGATACCGAGTAGTCTGGGACTGAGAGGGAAGGATATTTTCTGTACTGTTAAACAGCTGTTCTGCTTCACCGCAGGGCTGGTGACTGATCCTAGACACGCCCCCGCTGCCATCCTCACAGGACCATTGAGGTTTAATATTGTGCACTGAGAGAACTCCAAGGGTTGTTTTGCGGGGAGGGGAAAATGCTCTAAGAAGGGACTTATTCACTGATTGGTGCTTGCTTGCAATTATCCTGGCCTTTAAGAAGGTTTATTGATACCTCTTGCCAGGAGATAGAATAATCCACAGAAATAGCTTCTTTCCTTGTAGTGGAGATTGCTGGTCCTGACCAAGTGAGGTAGTACAGTCAGGGTGGAGATTAGGGCAACTACATGGCATGAGTTGATAAATCGTGAAATACAGGAGATGTTTACCGCAGAGTTGATTAATTAGCTCTGCAGTAAATGTCTCAGCATCTACGTGTGCAGGGCTATTAGGATGGAGTAAACTAATAAACTTTGCAACAGGGATACAAGTACTATCCTGCCGCAGAGGTTTGTTTGTTTTTTTTTTACTCTGCAGTAGTGCACGTGTAGATGCTGACCTGGCTGGCTGGCTGGGGCACAAGGGTGCTTCAGTGCATGGGCTGCCTGCTGGCTTG